ACCTGGATAAGACGCTGTACTTTTTCATAGCCGGCAGGTATGAGTTCAGCAATAAAGGCGCCGACATTTTCATCGAGTCGTTGGCCCGACTTAACCACTATTTGAAGGTTTGTTTGAATAGTTTTTTGTTATTGTTTTTAATTTGAACAGTTTTTATTTTTACTAAATTTTTTGGTTAATTAGATATAAAAGTGGTGTGTGTTTATCAGGGTATTTATGTTGGCTAGGATTAGTGTAACGTTAAGTTTGCCCAGTGGAAAGTTTATATTATTTAATGTTAACAATTTAATTTAATATTGGTTTAGGTTAGTTTAAACTAGTTGAAACTATTGAAAAATTTGATTAATCATTATTATTATTATTATTATTTAATCACCAAGTATTTTTATACCAGTTAGTCAACAAATACTTGATAAATTAGTTTTCAAAAGTTTTTTAACCTTAACATTAGTTTACTAAACTATTACATTTTACTTATTATCAGTAATTAGTAATCAATTAAACGCTTATTTGTTATAAAATATTTGAGTAAACTTTTTTTTGTTAGTTATTCACATAATGAAAATTAATTTTTTTAATTTTTATACTTACAATGATTTTATGATATAATTATAATTTAATTTATATATTTGTATTGAATAGTCGACCGGAAGTGAGGTGACTGTAGTGGCGTTCCTCATATTCCCGGGCCGTACCAACAACTTCAATGTGGACTCATTGAGAGGTCAGGCCATTGCCAAACAGCTCCGGGACACCATCGACGACGTCCAGTCAAGTATTGGCAAACGACTGTTTGAACAGTGCTTAGGGTATGTCCACAGTGGCCAGTCTATCTATTTACTCATTTAAACTAATCAAATGCACATTTTTATGTACAATGTGTTGAGTTGTGAATACGTTTTTTATTTGGTCCCGGTGATGAAGTATTATATATTTTTTACAAGTTTTATTTAACAAACTGTAATCACGTTGAAATACCGGTACATAGGTTTAAAGTATGTGATTTTGGAGCTTGGATTTTTTTGTATAGATGATTATTAATAACGGTAATAATTAAGCTAACTAGGTGACGGGTATATTAGGGAAACGATAAAAATTTTACACATTTTGTTACAACTATTAATTCTGAATAATGCAAGTACCGTAATAATTTAAAATATTAAAGTAATTATCGATACGACTCATGTTATGGTATTTCTAGTAATAATAGTCTATTACAATCCAATATACCGTATATTAACCCTGGTTATTTTGGCTCATTTAGCGGTAAAATCCCAGAAAGCAGTTCACTGCTAGAGGCGGACGATATCGTGAAACTGAAGCGCTGTATATATGCGGCTCAACGGACATCACTGCCCCCTATAATCACGCATAACATGGCCGACGACTCGACGGACCCCATACTGGCATCCCTGCGCCGCTGCCAACTGTTCAACAGCCGGGACGATCGTGTCAAGGTCATCTTTCACCCGGAGTTCCTCTCATCTACCAGTCCGCTCATACCTATCGACTACGAGGACTTTGTGCGCGGATGTCATTTAGGTGTGTGTTATGTGTGGCACAGAATTGCTGTACTTTTACAGAATATTCTTCATAACAATAATTGGCTATAAGTTATGCATTATAACGTTATTTTGTATATAACGTACCAGGAATATTTCCCTCGTATTACGAGCCCTGGGGCTACACCCCCGCCGAGTGCACAGTGATGGGCATACCCTCCCTCACGTCCAACCTGTCGGGCTTCGGCTGTTTCATTCAGGAACACGTGGCCGACCCCATGAGTTACGGCATCTATATTGTCGACCGGAGATATAAGGTATGGTTGAGACAAACGTACTGTAGCTATGGCTTATGTATTAATTTGTTCAATACCTGTCCCTCCCGTTCCCATCCATTAGAGTGCTGAGGAGAGTGTGCAACAGTTGGCGCAATACATGTATGACTTCGCGTGTCTGTCCCGTCGACAGCGTATTATTCAACGCAATCGTACGGAACGACTGTCCGATTTGCTCGACTGGAAGAACTTGGGGATCGTTAGTATACTATTCGTTATCATTAAATTAGACCCTGGTTATTGCCCACTTCTTGTAGTGTAGTGTTTAATTAATTTAATATAAACAGAGTATAGTTTAGCGGTTTAATACACTGATTATTAATTACTAAAATAATTATATATTAGAAAATAGTTTTCAAACTTGTTAAGTATTATAATAATAATATTACATAGTTTAAAACTGTAATTAATATTTGATAACATATTATGATTATACCATAATCTATGCATATTTATACCTTGGTCAATCCCAACATACACTTGAAATCTTAGTGTTTAAAATTTTACTATAAAATTACGATAAAACTAAATCTAGTATATGATAAGCACCTGTAGTTTATAGCTATAGAACTAATTAATATAATTCTTTACAACAGTATTACCGAAAGGCGCGTCAGTTAGCCCTCCATAGGCTGCACCCGGAGGTGATGGCCGAGGATCTCGAGTCAGTGCGGGTGCGATACCCGCGACCCTTCAGCGAACCGCCCACACCGTCGACCAGTAGGGGTGCGTCGCCCACCTCTAGCCGTGCGACCAGTGATGACGAGGACGACGATGAGGACGATAAGGACAGGGAGGCCGTGGAGTCCGATGGGAACGATTCGGACGTCGAGCGACAAATTCTGGCCACACCTGAAAACCCGTGATTTTTTAGTGCCATTAGGTTTACGCGTATTTGTGTCGACCCTAGTGTGCAATTGGTTTTACAAATATTTTGGGATTTTTATTAACATTTAGTTTATATTTTAAGCTATGGTTTAGTATTTTTAGTGAAATCTATGATTAATTTTTCTGATTTTATTTTATTATCAGGGTTATTTTTGTTGCCAAGTTTTATTTGAACTTTTTTTCACTCATATTTCTAATGTAATCTCATTTTTATTGGTTATATAATTATGTTTAATATTTTTAGCTATAATTATACGAATTATTTGTTTGTGTTTTTAGTTTTTAAAACTTAGTTAATATTTGTGTCGTATTTTTATCAAGTTAAAATAACTTTACAAATCATATACTCTAATCGCAATGAGCACCGCTATACAGCCAGTCCTACTTATAAGCAGCCGGTGCCCTGTTATTTGTTATGTTAATTACAATTATACATCCATTTGTGCCATAATTTACTTATAAATTAGAAATTAATATAATTATATGAAATTGTTTTAAATAAGCGCATAATAAATAGATTTTATTTTTGTTATAATTAATTAAATAATTAAATATATTATACATTTAGGTTATAATACTGTATATTAGATGCAAATTGTTTGTCAAGATTTTAATAAAATAGTTGTTATAATAATCATTTGAATTTTAAAATATAGCCAAAAAGTCAATAATTATGGCTAAATACTACGTTATATGTAATTAAGGTGGGTATTTTTTATATAAAATTTTGTGTATTGGTTAAAATATTCAAACTCGTATCAAATTAATATTTATGTTTTAAATACTAATTATATAAACTCATTAAATACCTATCTTGTAAGTTATTAATTGTTTTATCATGATACAATGTGTTATCGTTTATTCTAATATTTTGCCTATGGTTTCAAATAATTCATAATTGCCTAAATAGACATTAATATTATTTAATATTACTTATTTAAATCTTAAAAAGTAAATATTAATATGACAGGTACTTTATACCACAACTTGCCAACATATGCCGCTAATTGTCGCCATGCTAACATCAGGTAACCGGTAGCCGGAAAAATAGGATTACCTTCTACCGCGTGATCCAGGTAAAACGCATCATCCTTAAACCGGCTATTAATCACTACATTCATGTCGGACGCGGTAGCCCTACAATATTTCTCTGGATAAAACACCTTGCGCAACTCCACGCTATGATCCCATTTGATTAACGACCCGATAGACGGCGTACCCCTCGGCACTGGCCACTCGACCCGGGGGTAGAGTTTATCGATCGACAGATTGTAACCCAATTCGTAAAGTGTTGCGAATCCGGACAAAAACATATCCAGATTTGTATCGTTTGAGTCCTTTTTAATGAGCGATAAATAGGTACAGGTAGCTTATTATTAATAATTTAATTTATTAATTCACTAACTAGTACAAATGTAATCCTTGGGCAGAAATGACGTCAAATGGACGATATAGTGTTGTGCATACTTGATTCACATGGCAATTGTACTTCAACCATATATACACGACGTTGGTGCAGGAACCATATCTATTATTCGAGCACCATGTTCAAAGCCAACTCGCTAACCGTGCTCGGTTGCATTACTTTAATTATATATTACCTGTATAAACATTAAATTTTGTTTGTGTAATTTCATTTTTTAACCTTTTTATTAAAATATGTTTTAATATATTAATTTTTTCTACTTAAATAAATAAGTGAATAGTTTTAATTGACAATTATTTTCTATTTTGTATTACTAGTACGATCATTTATCAGAATTAAATAATTTTCTAATTAGACTTTTGTGTGTTTCGGTTATTTGTATTATATCTTAAAATATATTATAAAAAAGCAAACTTTTTTATTTTATTAGCCTGGGTGTACGATTAACACCGTACTAGAGTCTAGGATCTGGCGCTAAGATTTTGAGAAAGGAAACCCTAAATTCGACCATTCGCAAATAATATTCATTATTTTCTGACCCTTTCATAGAAAATATAATGAATGACCATGCAAATAATGACCCTTTAATATACACTGTCTGAATAAAATTTTCTGATTAAAGTCATCAGAGTCTTTACATGGATAGGTGAACATATTGAACGTCAATATGAATACACATAAGTTAAAAAACAAAAACCAAAAACTATGTCTAATCATACAAAATAATTTAATATTTGTTTTTTAAAGAATAAGTCATTGCGTTATTTATAATATGTGTAAGCCTAAAACCATTTAAAGGTTTTTGCCATGTAGCGTTTACTGTATATGAAATATTTATTAAAC